TATAGCGCCATCTATTGCATCGTCTTGGAATCGGTTCTGTCCGGATTTCTGGCTTCGCATGCTAAGAGTCACATGATTATTATGCAAACAAATCGCCATTTTTATTCCACGCTGCACGTTATATTTTACACAGCTTTTCCCTTACCAGGGATGAACTTCTTCGTTCGAAGCAACTGAAGGGGTCCGAAATGGATCTGTTTTGCAGTCTTGTTTCAGAATTGTCGCCGTTTTCGATTAGAAAAAGGCCAACAGATCAAACATTCAGTTAAATATTAACTCAACTCGCAATAATTAAAGGCGATGTAAGCATACTGAAGAGCAATCGAAATGTGTTATTGTGTGATACTACTTGCTTTCTCTTCCAGATATCTTTTCGGGAATTTTATGCTTTATTTGGTCGATACTGGTTAATGTAGTTATGAATTAACCAACTTGTATAGTACAGCATAAAATTTTATGTTGGTACTATCGATTTGCTTTATGTGCAGTTTCCTCTACTCCCAAATATGTCGCAATCTTCTGTATTCATTCAAGATCATTTCCAACGAAGAATCACATCGTTCTTTTTGTCAATGATGATTTTCGTTGTTGCTGCTGTTGATGCTGCGGTGGATCCTCGGTGTCGGTTTCTTTTGGCGAAACAGATGGTGGTGGAAGCATTGCCTCTTCGGGCGTTAGGCCTTCGGTGATTCTCGATGGGGGTTCCCCTTGAAAGCCGTTGTCTTCCGCCGTTGGCGACATAGTAGTAACGCATAAGTCGACGTCGGCATCGCTTGTGCTGGCTGTGGCGGCACGTTGGCCTAGTACGCAGCCACTGTGACCTGCTGCGCCTGCCGACGCTGTAGCTTTGGCCTGATTATCGTTCCGTATTTAGGGTTATGCCAGCATGCAGTGGCACACAAGCAATGGACAAGCACGAAGGTAAAGAAGAAAAATGTTTGTCATACTCAAAAATGGCTATATATAATATACTATTTGCTTAAACAAATATATTTATACGGTCGGATATCGTTTAGTTGCGACGTTGCGATCGGTTCTAAATGAACGCGTATCGTTGCATAAAGTGTACGATATAACAAACTATTATAATAAGGTACTCCTCCATTGAATACATCGTTTTCATCTATTTTTAATGCTAGTAATAACAATACTATACATTTTAATTAGTGCACGCCCACTGACTATAACGAATAACGACAACTTCCTCCGAGCGTACATTTCACCCACCTCGTGCTTAAGAACCTTGTCCGAGTCCGCAAAGATTTCGCTGGTTGAGGCCGTTGAGGGTGCGGTGAGCGTTTGAAGGTCACTTGTGCTTAGTGAATGCCTTCCGCTAAACTGGCTAGCGACGCTAATTGAATCGTCATCTGATATAAGGTCGGTTTTGGACCCGCTGCTAGCCAGACGCTTCTGGCGGCTGCTGTTGCGGCGCTTGATAGACTCCCGGAGGTCGCAGGTGCTTCCTGCAAGCAACCCTGTGAGACAACGTGATGGACGCACGGCATGTGTCACGCCGACCAAGACACGGTACAGAAGGTGCATACACAAAACAAACATCAAGCGAACGCATTCACAGGCGAAAAGGACAAATTCGCTTGTAAAAGACTCAAACAATGTTAAGAACGTTACACACAACTGTGATGAGTAAAAGTTTTTCCCGAGGTACATGCTGAGAAATTATTGTGATTATATATATATGTGTATAGCAAATTATTATAATATAGATCTTTTTTGCAGCTTCATTAAACTCACTATATGCAAGACTGTGATTAGTTTAGTTCCTAATGAAGCAGAGCAACAGAAACCTAAACGATGAAGGTTCATCCATGGGTTGTATTGTGTCTTGAGTGACAATTTTCGTTCGTAAGGATTATAAAAAGAACTCGATTAAAATCTAAATAGTACGTGACAGTAATCACCCCCCTGAGCAATCACTAATGCGATATTATGTTAATGTATATATTATTGTTATATTGTGTGTATTGCCTTTTGATTAGCATGGCAGTCAATTACTGCAGGACAAGAAATGCGTTTAGGTAAACGATGTGGACTGTGCGTGAAAAAATGGGGTAAAATAATCATATTTTGCTAAACAATATAGAGACCCTGAGAGGGGAAAGGAGTGCTTAATCTATGTGCAGTTGGTTGGAATGAGTTTCTACGAAGAAACTTGATAGGTGCTGAGCTCAGCAAAATGGCGCGTAGGACAAATTAAGGCATATGTACATACAGACCAGCCATGTGGCTACGTACCCGAGAGTCGTCTAGCGGGAGCCTGTTGGGTCTGTTCAGTTATGGCAGCACAGACTCGGCTGTTCTGTCCCGTATAGAGCAGGCCTGCGTTGGCCAGATGGCCCTGAGATGTCGAAGGTCTAGCATCTGCTCCTGAACAAATCTGCGGTTTCTTGCGACCGGATGCGAAATTAAAGAAACGCTTACGTTGACTCTGAATCTAAAAATAAGAATTTCGAAACGATGTTAAGAGAGAAACAAAGCACTAACAACAGTTTTTGTCATTAGTCTGCAAAGGCAATTACAATAAATAAGAATGGCAGAAGTAAAGACGAGAAATAGAGAATTATAGAGTCTTCGGGAACGCAACGATAGCGCGTCGTTGCCTTCCACCTGTAGCAGCGACGCTTTAACCATGAGACTTCGGAAATGCTCGCTTCGTAGAAAGCGCGGATAGATATCGGTCTGCATCAGGGTGAACACGTGCTGCTGAGCGTGATCAAACGTATAGCGCGATGGTTTCTTTATGGCCTCCAAAGTAACTTCCATTGTAGCCGAGTCCAAATTAACTTCACATGGTGCACCCGATGATAAATATTCACTGTTTGAGCATTCACACAAAAACGTAAATGTTTTTTTTTATACATAGCGGGAAAACATTGCCGCTAATTTGTACGAAGCATCGTATGCAATGAGACATTCGTAAAAATATCCGCGTGTACTTTCGATAACTCTTTTCCACATATTTTATAGATACACGATTGATAAGAACATAATAAGTGAAAAGGCTACATCGAAATGGTACGAACCTATGGATTTCCGTAACCCTCTGAGGAATGCATGCATATGAGCCTCGCTTGAGATCCTGGACGGCCTTCCAGAAAAGGATGTTTTCGTAGGAATATTCTTTGCGCAGGTATGTCTCGAATTCCTGGAAGCCTCGAGGATCTGAGAGTAGCTCTTCCAAGGAGAGTGTCCACCGGCGGAGACGCCTTTCGGTGAGGGTATCCGTTCTAAGCGAGTATCCGAAACATTTGATGTTTTTTTTATTTACGAACATTAATTATTTCACTTAGCAAACCAATGCATACCTAGGCAACGCAATAGAGTGTTAAATCGCGTCTAAAAAAACAATCTATCTCTCAGTAAATATTTTTGTACACTATTCTATTCAGCTCACTTCTGAAAAAACTGACTTCTGATACAGAAAGGTATGAAGACTGGATAACGTGTAGTTGCAGAATCTAGAATCCTTTCAATAAAACAGTGTTAGAATCTATGGGAGATGGCCGTTCAACAAATTAATTTACCGTTGAGCTAACCACGAAGAACGTAATAACGGCTTCGTAATGATGTACTGCACATAGATGATAAGCAAGCCCTTAGGGAATTAGAATCATAATGTAAATATTTGTCGCATATCGTAGCTTTTCAAGTTTTGAGAAGGCTCAACAAGCCTATTCTTTTTACCAGGGGGTATGATCACGGGTGACTTACCTTGAACATATTCGGTAGATATCTAATACCATTCATTTGATATATAGTTATATCCCTAATAATTATGCATCGTAGATAACCGGAAAGGTTTTAGGTAGAACATGAGATTCAATCAATATACTGTACATATTACTAAACGGAGCAACTTCAATTGGCATTTGTTGACAGAGCAAAGACGTGTCTAAACCTACGTATGGCTTTCGATTATCCAGAACGTTGGATCATCAGAGACCCATGGATTTGAAGGTAGTGGAGGACAAAGAAACGCATCGAACTCCCGATAGTCCTCGGAGCGCTGCCACAATGTGCTCTTGGCGCGACTTCGCGTTATTGTGCTCTTTAATATTTTTATCTGAAATCGAGTAACATCAAAATGTTGAAGGTGCTTCTTTAGCATAGAAGGGGCGATGGATAGTTTAGCTACAGCGATTAACGTAAATAGGACAGCGCGGCCTGTTATATAATGCCTGATATTACGCTGATCGAGAATATAATGTCTGTATGTGTTCGAATAGCACAGAACAAATTCAAAATGAGGGGAATTTTAGAAAATTGTGTGGGTGTATCAAGAGCTGCTACGGACTATGCTCACCTGTCGTTTGAGCTGCTCGGGCGTTGTTTTCTTTTTTCGGATGCGCCGACTGGGGACGGGGCACCTTTCCAAGCAAGTGATAGTCCCCGGGGGTGGCCGATGTATACGCCAATACGCCCGCTCCTGCGATGATGAGATCACCTTATCTGTTTTCTTTTTTTCCTTTGATTGCCTGCGCAGATAAAAAAAATGTGCCTTACAAAGCAAAAACCTGATTTGTTCTTTAATTCCAAAGGACGCATACACGAATTAATGCTACAAGATCACATGTTTGCTAGCGTCGGACATCTCCTTTAGACGATTGCACGGTAGAAAAACTAGACAAATAAGCGGCACACAAGTCTAACGACGGCAAAAACATTAAAAAACTTTCTTTCTTTTCTGGTTTACACGATACAGTTGGTGATGCTCCACCTAAGTACACAGACTGAGTCATTAAAGAAAATTTTGTATTATAGCAGTGTATTTTGTAGTAACAGTAACTTTGTACACTATGCCAGCTATGGCTTTTCAGATTATCGCTTGAAAATAATGATCGTCATCTTTACCGTCTCGTACAATCATGCATATGAAGTTTCGTTACTTTATTTTTCTTCATTTCAATTTTGGACGCGTTTACTGGGTGTGCTATGTGCCTACTGAACGTATTGTTCTTCCTTCGTGTATCCTCAGTAAGGACTTTCGAGCCGTGGTTTGTAAATATTTCGCACACTCATTTATTAATTTGTCCTGCGATAACGAAAACCTGGCTATGTTCTTACGGTGCCCTCTTGAGGAGCTTTCCCATTAGTGAGAAGATATTACCCCTAGCCTCGCCACGTTGTCCAGGCACAAATCCCTCCCTCAAATAAAACTAAAGAAGGCTAAGACGGACTAGAAGAGAGCCGTCTGTAGAAAGGTTCGTCTGTTTTTAGAAGAAGAAGAAGAGGCAAAGAAAGATCCGTAATGGCAATTCTGATTAAAAGTCTAGTCTATTCATGCTCTCAAATCGGCTGTACCAACTAAAACCTGGAAATTGGAGCATGTTTTTTAGCTGCCACATCCTAATTAACTGTCGATTGTTAAACTAGATCCCATGAATCAAGGACCTGCCATGTTTTCCAAGCTACTAATCTGTCGGGCAAACAGCCAGATGTCCCAAAAAAAAGACGCCTGTATTTAGTTTGTTTCTACTCAGTTTTCTGAGAAAAGATAGACCGGTTTGGCCCATGTTTCATTAAATATGACATTTATAGCGACGATGTATTGATGAGCAATAGTGTAATATTAAATGCATGATAGCAATGTAGCAATGACGGCGGACGGAGACTAGACGAAAGCGTTTTGATCGTGATCTGCGCGTAAGGCTTACTTACTAGTACTTGTATCGTCGGGAATCACTGATACGACCTTTTTATTGTTTTAAAATGGATTATAATAGCGAAGAGTTTAGTTTTTGTCATTCTAGAATATCACCTTATCAAGTTGTCTTTTTAATTGATTGTATCCAACGGAGTTGAAAGCATTTAGCAGGAGCAGCTGAAATCATGCTGAATACTTATTACATAATAATTAAAGCCAGCGATGATTGGAAAAGTTTATTACAAAGCTTACCCTTTAATCCGTTCCCGTCCGTCGCTTATAAAGGGCGGGCTTTTTTGAAAGAGTGAAATGGAAATAATACGATCAGTATTCATTATGAAGGACAAAAGACAAGTGAGCAATTTTCATGGTTCTGTATTAACAAATTAAAGTTAAATTATCCGCGTTAATAAGTTAAAAATCATTCGTGTCATAGAACGTTGCCCTACCTGAAAGCCGCTCTACTTGACAACAAAGCCACTTAGCCGAACACAGATAATAGTGAGCCATCAGCCAGTCATTTCAAACTTTTCAGTAGGACACAGGACATGATCGTACTGCTAAGAATCTAGCGAAATGTAATAACAACAACGATCAATATCACTACTATAATGTTTTGAGTTTTACGCCTGCTACTGCCTCTAAGTACTGCTTCAGAGCTTGCTGTTATTGTCGTTACTAACAGTATTGGTCTAAACAATATATCTGTTCAAAAACTTAGTAAAAAGAGCATTTAAAAGGGACAGGTCTAGATAAAGAGACAGGCATAACAGACGAACAAGACAAATGCGTAACTTGGAGAAAATCCTAGTTGAAATTAGCTGTGCTTAAATCTCAAATGCAATCTTCTTTTCAGTCAGGTTATCAGCACGACGCCAAGGTTTGTAATCGCATGATGCCCATCCGGCAGAGGTGCTCTTCGTCCTTGATACTTACAGCCCCCGGCACTTTCTCGACTTTATTGCCACGATCACAGCCCTTAGTTTCAAGATTAGTTTCAGCATCGTCACTTAAGTCTTTGCAGGTTTCGTCTATGAAAATCTTAACCTCGAACAAAGGAGAGACACTGAATACAAAAGAAACCACAAATTATTAAAAGGTAGATTAGGTAGCAAGCTTCCGCGCATCCTTTCGCCGCCTTTTTCCAACCAGCCTCGATACGTACTGAAGCCCATTATTATCTATATATAGCTGGATAGCTAAGCTATCGAAGTAGTAAAGTACGACCGGTGGCTTACTCAATAATTGGCCAAATGCTGTTTCTAAGAGAGGAATAAGTAAAACTGGACTCTGCCATCTACCGATCTTGAAGTTTGAGAATGATTTCTATACGTGCTGTTTCAGAAGGCACAAGTGGGCAAATCAATTTAAAGGTGTGCAGAAATCCCGCCCATCCCAGTCTGCTGGGCGGCTCAAGCTGCGTCGTTAAGGGACAGCCGGTGGTGAGGCCATGTGCCTTGGGCCGAATCGAAGCGAAGTTATTTAGCCTTCAATCTGATCGTCAGTAAACTCAGGATGTGGTGGTCGTACGGCGACTAACATGCCAGCGGCTATGCTAATACCAGCATCGCTGGTCAACTCGATCGCAAGCCAGATAGTAAAACGCGTCAAGCACTTCAAATGGCAAACGACAACAGTACGGCCAATGAAACTGTTGTCTTCCAAGCAACAAGCATTGTATTGCTTGATTGGTTAGGTCAATATCAACATTTTTGCCTTCCTCCATATTGCTTGACGATCCCCTTAGGGGTATCCCATACGAGTCACCCTGTTCGAAAACAAGTCAGAGCTGAACAGCAATTGGTATAGAAGTATGCTCAACTCACTTTTAGCTACCCGATTCGTTTTAAAATCTCTATGAAACGAATTAAATGTTTCGAAAGAAAAATGCCTACGATTATAAGATGTTAGTGTATCTTCGAGTTTTTCTTTTTTTGAATATTCTATTTTTTGTCTTCGGCCGGCAACTGTTCCCTTGGATTTAATCTCCTATGGACATTAAACATGCGGATGTGCGCTGGTGCATGTAAGCGGCTAATTGTATAGTGATTTCCATTCAGGCTTCTCATGAGCATTGGAGTTAGCGGTACACGTACTATTAATGCATATGAGACAGGATTATTACCATGGAACCACTGCACGGAGTGGTTTACTGATATTAGATGGCATCGCGTACACAGTGTAGCATCAATTGAAATGAGTGAGAGTATATCCACGGCGTTTAGACGGAAACAAAGAAGTGATTGAACAATAATCTTTAGCGGACCGTTTCTCGCGACGGACATCCGTATCAGCTGCTCTTTTGGGAATTAGAAGAATGCCTATTATTTTTAGGAGATAAGCAGAAAATAAATATAATAGGGACTGGGGAGTGGTGTTTGGAATATGAGGAAAAATCAATTATCATCGGATGTGTTTGCGCCTAACGAAATTCGTCGAAGTTATAAACTTTCGTAGTTAATCAAAATTGACGGTTTTAACGCTACTAAGTACATCGGTGTTGAAAAGACAGAAACAAAAATCTGTACGCTAAAACGGGAGCAACAAGACCGGATACTCATTACAAAAATTCTACAGATAATTAAAATGTTCTTTATCATCTATGTGTTTCCGTTGCGGCTTGGTAGCGCGACTTTAACTTGGCGGCGGATACAATAACTTGAATCATTCACAAAACCCTTCGATACAAGTCTTAAGTTGTGAAAGTTGGGCAGAAACCACAATACGCGTTGTTTTAAAATCTGGTACGAAATTCTGGATGGTATGATGGCGCAGCTGTTTATAGAAATAGGCTAGCGCGGGGCTGCTTGATTAAGCAAATAAGCACGTTCTAGAGCGACGGCTTATAGCCCAGATGTGAATTCATTGAAATAATATGAACGGGGCCCGATTGACCCAGAGGCCAACAAACCTCACCATCATGAAATTGACTGATTTTCTACTGTTGCTAAAAAGGCATTTATAAATGTACACAGGGATGGTCCGACACGCTCTTTTCAGTGACATAGCTCTCGAAGAAAAACATTATCAGCGCAAATGCCACCCATATTGAATGAGCGTGATTTTGAGCAATGGCTCTATGGGAAGCATGCGAAGAAATGATTCAGTCGTGAATAAGCGACACTGGCTTTATCTCAGTTTTTGGCTTAGACACTTTGCACAGGCGAAAGATTCGTAATAGGACTGTTGGAGTCAAGAAATTTCATTCCCTACATGAAAAGAGCGGGTATATATTTAAGATCACGGAGTCGTCACGTTACCGTAGCTAAACCTCATGACCCTTCTACAGCATATCTTACATGATACAAAAAATGCTGCAAGGTGCAAACCGCAAATTTTTTTATAAGTTATTTATGCACAATAAGATTAGGCTAAGGATTCGTTTAAATGTTTGCTATCACTCACTCGTCACAAATACGTCCCCTTACTGGGTGAAACCTGAACAAGTTCACCATTATTAACTTTTCCTAAAACTGATTCTCGTTTGTCCTTTATGCCGCTATTACCGACACTGCCGCTTAGCGCCGGTTTACGGACTTTTCAGGGTAGAGATTGTACGAGTTTAAACAACACTGAACAGTCTGAGCTGATAGGATTACTAGAAGAACTGCCTGTATTTTAATGGGAGGTAAAAGAATACCTGCGGCTGTATTCAAACCTAGACTTTCTGTGGTTATTAGGCGGACCGTTTAACATTGTATCGTCGCAGAAACACCACACTCGCAACAGAAAGCTCGGCTTTCGTAGCCCCTTCAGCTTTTTTGTAGGACATCGTGTCGAGACCCATCAAGCCACTCAAAACGTCACAATGTCTTGGTTGAGATTCATGCCCTACAGCTTCTTTCCTGTTACATTCTATCCCAGGATTTTCGCTAAAAACATTAGAGCGTAATATATTGATATGCCTGCTAAGCGTTACGGAAGAAATTGCTTTGGCTTTTTAGGTAAAGGCTACACAACTTTTGAAAAATTCTCCTTTGAAATAGAAAGGTGACGCTCAAAGTAGCCAGCCAAAGCCTGGAGAACCAGAAGCATTGTGTGCAGTGATGAATTATCCTAGATACTAGTAAGAAATTATATAACAGGCCATTTTGGTTCACTAGTGCTTATGTGTTAGACGTTAGATAAAGGCTACAAAATGCTTACGCTTTTTGCGCGTGCTCAAGCAAACCAACTGTGATTCCAAGACAGCTGAATTCTAGGTAGAATCGCATTATAGGTGTTCGTCAATGAAAAAAAAATGCCATTTTAGATAGAAGGTCTTCAAATGTAACATTTGCCATCCGTAAGACTCGGCATCTATGGCTAAATCGATACGCTGTGCTTCCAGGGAGACGCTTTACCGTTTCTTACGGACCAGCATAACTTCTAATTCGAATGACATAGTAAAAAGTTTTAATTCGCAAAACTGGACTATTCGCAGCTTAGGGAGTATACTTACTTAATATTGATCTATAATTATAAGCTTAAAAGCATACTTTTGGGTAAGACTAACTGATCGTTTAAATAATGGTACACGAAACGTAGGTCATATATTTGGCTGGAAAAATAAGGTGCGCATATTTCCCAGTGAGTACGACGAGATGACTTACGATCGACTTTACATAGCAAAGTTTATTAACCTTACCATCATTTACTTGGTTTATTTTACAGAAAATATTAATATCTATTTTGTATGACAAAGTTTAAATAACACATATTTTTCTGGACTTTTCAACAAAAGGCCCTGCCTTCTAATGACTGGCCCGGCTATTCCTTCGTAGCGTCTCGTGACTCAGCACTCTGTATATCTCCATCATGAAAGGTAATGGCTCTTCTGTTCAGAGGACGCACATTAACATATATGAGAATGTGAAACCAAGGTAATTAAAATGTTTGTTATTAAATAAAAAAAAAAAACAAAACAGCTGATACAATATCTAATAGTAGAGTACGGGCTACCTAATAGGGTCGAATAATGGCGCGACAATCTTATCACGTTGACTAGATACGAACATTTGTAGGGAAGCAATGAAATTGCTTTTGAATTACGACCTATACCATGAATGAATACGCTGCTTATGTATGCAGGCAATACAAATTACAACGAGACAAGCTATAACTGTTCTGCTATATTTTAGTAGGAAACGTCACGTCCTTGTAATTTTTTTCTGTAGAAATTGAAGGACTCACAAAGAATTTCTTTACAAAAAACTGCATTTGTAGTAGCACCCGAAACAGCGCTCACGCCGAGTATGTTCAAAATAAGAGCACAAACTTATCATTTGTTACTTTTAATTATTTTATGATAATGCTAACTTCCGTGAATAAAAATCCCCATGTAATATACTTCGCAAATAGCGTTTCTCCTTGTGCCGTTGTTGATCCTAATATCCAAGTAGCAGACGACGTACAACTATTATTAAAATGCCAATTTCTCCAACAACAAATACCTTGCATTCGTTCGGTTGCGTACGATCGTGGCTTGGGCAGTCAAGCTCCTAGTTAAAGGGGCTAACCGTTGCCAATTAAATGGTAGCAAAGGTACAATCACTTCGCATATTTCATCTCTGGCGGCAACATATCTTTACGAGAGACGTACGCACAGATGAGGGACGAAGGCATTTTCTCCTGTAGCGTATAAAAAAAAATGTATCGAAAAATGGAGTCCACTCACGCGATCTGTTCCTCGGCTTGCTGACACAATGTGTCCCACTTATTGGCGAGAAGTTTTTTCAGCCGCTGAAGCGCTTCTATTTCATAATCTTCGAGCGAGTTCTTGGGCTTATTCTTGAGTGTCCTTCTTAACAAATACAGTGCATACTCGGTGTTATCTGGGTTGTTACGAGATGCCCAGTATTCTGGAGCTTGAAACCTGTGATAAAAAAAAGCGTGCTTGGTTGTAAATCCCATAAAGGTATACGTGTCCTTTTGTGACCGTTAATTTTAGCATTAAACAAAAACCTTAATGGGTTTGCATTGGGCTAGAAAAAGTCATTCCTATTTGTACCTGTATAGCGTAGAATCGTCTTTAATCGTGTAGGTTTTCGCATTTTCGCCAACGGGGAAAAAATATCCGTGTTGACAAAGCAGATTGGCTAGGTGAAGCGCCTCTTGTGCCACGGGCCCCGACTGGTCATCGATGTCCAGGTTGTCCATTATCCACTCGACGACGTCGTAGCCCACAAACGCACATGGGATTGACGTAAGGAATAGCTTCTGCGAGCGAACTGGAATTCCCAATTCAGGGTGCTGCATTTCCGCAATAAGCCTTTCCATCTATGACACACGTAATGGGAAGGAGCACACAAACGTAAACTTAAAACGACAACAATACCCATAGTCTACACTACGAAGATGATTAGAAAACCCTAAATTGCGACAACGAATTTCGAGTATGAACCATTGGCAATAACCCGTGACGTACAAAGCGCAAAGTATGGTAATGAATATGCACAAAATAAACTTCCATTCAACCAATTAATAATTGTACGAACTTTTAGGAAACATGACTCGATGCACACGTCGTCATGACTGTTTTGGTGGTGACTCGTAAGATGCGGAGATCCAGGCGGCCTGTAATGTTGGCTGTTCGCTGATAGGGGTCCGGCAGGCGCCGGGGACAGCGCTTTCAATGGCTGCAATGCAAAATATCTCTTTAAAAACAATTACGAAAATATGCGCAGGGACATTCAGACGTGACGTACGTCAAGCACGTAAAATATGCTATAGAATGTCACTCATTATCGAGCTTCCATTCACTATATTCGCTGTGGCTGTAGTCGCCTTATTGGTAACAGCGCACGTTTTAGCTATACAACGTCTCCTATAGGAGTTCCCACTCTGTACACTGACCATTAGCGAGAAACCGCGCTAGACCTCAATGTTATTCGATTCTCGTATCGTTCGTATCACCCAACAGGTGTCCGGCCAATTATCACAGATTTCACAGTCAATAAAGATAACATCGTCCATTTGTCAGTCGACACAGATAGATACAAACGTACAACGACTACGTATCTCACAGCTACATGGCAATATTTATACCTGCTAAATACACCGATACAACAACTCACCTCAGTGGCGTATTCCCTCGGCTCCTTGAGTAGCTCGTTTTCGCTATCACTGGACATGGCAGGTCGTTTTTGCTGTTCGTCGTTGCCGTTTGCCGATGGATCAACCGATGATGGTCGCAAGCCACTCGGCAGCGGCAAACCAAAGCTACTATAGCGCAATTTCTTCAAATTAAGCGACTAGTGTCCAGCCAGGTTACCTAACCTAGTCGGTTTATGGTCGGCGACTACATCCAAGCCGAAAATTCAGCAACTATCTACTGCCGCCTCGATATCATCCCTATGTCATCTAAACTAAGCGAGCTGCATACGGCAGGACAGCAGGCAGCGGTCCCTGGCACAGTGGGGCCACTGTGCCAGTGCCAGTTCCTGGCCTTGCTTTGCCTTTGGCCTATGTCTTCGACCCTACTGCACTCTACCGTCTTGATTTGGTCCTCCTTCCTCCCTCCTTTACTTCTTGTCGTTCTTCTCGGTGCGCGATCAAGGGGGTCCGCGATTTAGGGCCGTGTGTGCGGTAAAAGTCGGACTCGGAGGAGCGAGAGGAAAATAGTCGGAGGAACCGGTACACCGAGGAAAAGGAACCAATGAACAACAACTGTTGTTAATGCTCCGGGTGCTGCGAGAGCCTGAGAGGTGGACGTTGAGCACGAACGCAGGATGTCGAGGTGACGGCGACGGCGAGTTCCTTGGGAGAGGGTCAACAAGGCAACCAGGAAGTTGAGCAGCTAAAGAATATGAATTACGCAGCGGAATCGGTAGAAGCACTAAAGGAGGCCATGATACCTAGCAGGGGCAGTAGTATCAGGCCGGTGAACACTCGCGAATATATGCAGTAGAAGTAAAGGGTCGGTGTGGGATGCGTGGGCGGACATGTATATAGCACGAACGAGAAAAATAAGAACTAGTAAATCCGGCTCGCGCAGATCTGGAAAAATACTTATTTTTCGCACGACGGTAATAGCAGTAATAGTGGTGAACTCGTACGTACTACTAATCGCCAACATTTAAGGACAACAAAGCACTCGAAGTGGGTGTGCGGCACGTCTTCGTTGACCACATAGCATCGATGTACATCTAGTATGGGCGCGGCATGGAAAAGAAGACTATTGTATTTAGGCACTATTGCATACAGAGATTATGATACTATATGTGGATAGCAATTACAAAATGACCTTTAGAACCGTTGAATATAAACGTTCTCGGGTTGATTTTGTGGGTCCTCCAAAGCCAACGCATGACTAGGTGAGTTAGGAAGTGATTTCTGTGAAAAAGCCTAAAGTTACCATCTTACGCACAGAACAATTGCATTTTTATCAATCGAAATCGCAGGCCCATTTTTGCTCAGCACACCTTGTTTTAAGTATTTTAGATTTTTCATGAATTTCGACTATTTAAAGTTTATAGGTTTATAAGTTTAAAGTTATAGGGTTTTTTTAACCCTCTATTTAGGCACAACACAAATAAACCGAATATTCACTTAAATAGCTTTATAAGTGCTTGGTGTCTGCGACAGACGGAATAAGGGGCTGCCTTATAATACTCGTGGGCTCGGCAGGGTTTTTATTTTCCTTTGTTGATAAAAGGATACTTATGTTTAGACTTTTTCTCATATTTTAAATTAGATTCACCCTTATTACACATCAAAGTTACTCACGACTTTGCATATCTCCATGCATTACTTTTTTTTTGCGAGGATTATCTCAGTAATGACGATCATATAAGGACTGCCTCCAATCCAAGACGGATCCTGGAACATGCACCGACTTCTAAGGCCGGTTACATTTTATTTTTGTCGCCATGACAAATTCGGCTCGGACTCCAAATGAGGACTCTAACTAGCACAAAGAGCTGAGGATCACCAAGACTCAGAGCAACGATTACAGGATCCTATCGGGTAGGCAAGTGTTCCAACAGTCAGTGTTCATGGCCGCAGCTGGCTGTACAGGCGGCACATCTTGGATCACCGATTTCTCTGATTATTTTACAATGGCTAGAAACGGACTAAATGACATCTAGTTCCTGTACTTCCAGTTCGTTCGTTTATTTATACAGGCTTGATGACTATCGATCAGTTAACAATTCGTAATTTTCGCCTTTACGATAAGGTTTTAAGCTCATCTGAGAAGCTTCCTAACGTTGAATTATGTGTAGGGTTTCTAAAATGACCTAATATTTGCGATGTAATATGTTAATACGAAATTTTGTACAAGTTGACAAAGCTTCAATTAACTTACATCTTGCTTATACTGCCTATAGATCAAGTGGTTTGGGGTTGTATGCTACAGTTACGATTGTCCTCAAACTCCAACCTGTCAAGCTTTGGTGTTCGGGCTAATAGAACGAAGGACGCATTCGAAAGTCAATCAATTACCCTACTGACTTGGATTAATCGAACAAATCGTTCGCTTAATGACTATAGCCTTCGCGAGTTGTCCATGCTAACAGCAGTCACACAATGAACTGGTTCGGTCCTTTTTGAAATAGACAGTTCCGCAAAGGTTAGACCTTGTCAGCCAATCGAGTGGGGCTTGACTTGACGGTACGCGCCATAAGGTCAATTTTGAGAAATTCAGTTCCACCTGGAAAAATCATCAGAGCAGGTATATTCGAGCTCCCAGAAAAATCCAACTATTGTTACGCTAGTTTTATTTTCTAGCAATATGTTTTTTTTTCTCCGAATTGTATATACCAGTGTGGCTTTAGAAGGGAAACGATCAATCAGACATAGCTGTCGCACCGCTACCGAGAAATAATCTATGTATGCTATGTTTAAACCATCTTCTTTAAAAATTCTATTAAATTAAATTGTTCGTTGTTGGTGTTAGAACGCCGATGAGTCTAAGCTGTGTAACTACTTTGCAGCATCCGGCGCCGCCGCTCCGACAGTGTTTCGCTGCTTTAAAATTTGATAACACTTTATCTATAAATTACTGAACATCTGCGCTTTTGTTATTACCTTAATAATTACCTCACGTAAGTTGTATTCCAGGCGACGCGGAAAATGTTTTTCTATGACCTCTGGCATGGGCGTGGCTCGTTTCGATATGCGAACCACCATCCGCGCAATCACTGTCGACGAATACGATGGTTTCGGGTGATTATGTTTATCTTATGCTCGAGCATGTTCTTCGTGCAATTTGTCAATGTGTGGACGTACTACAGAGAGTACAATTTTGCCATCTCGATTGAAGAGGAGTACCGAGAAAACATAGTTTTTCCAGGGGTCACACTGTGCATTGATGCCTGGTAAGTTTTGCCGAATCATAAGAAGTTTCATCACGAATCTTCGTCCGATTTCCTCCACATGTGTAGTTTTTGCTTAAATGAAACATCTGTCCCAGTCACGGTATTATGTCCGCCTGCAAATCCTAGGAATACGTAGGGTTAGGAGCCCAGGTTTGAAGCTGCCTCGAACTCGTAGTGAAGGGGAGCAGCCATGTGAAACAATGCTCAGCGTGAGCAGTGGCATTAGACATAAAATTCAATACATTTAAATGAAGTACCTGTTACATTTGGTGCCAGAACTCTATTTTTGTGACTCGAAACTATCGTAATCTAACTCTCTAAGCTCCGCACATAGAAATACAATTTGTTAATGCTTATGCTCGTGATGCTTCCTATAAGTTACAGGAACGATTCGTTCCTAGGCACGATTAGAGCTATCTTGTCCAATCTGCTCACATCTCCGTACGGCAACGAATGTAGACTATACATTAAGAATGAAAACGAGACTTCTGTGTATTTATCTAGTGGTGCGGAAAATCTAGGAAGCTACTTGAGTTCCCGTTATCATTAATGGACTTGGTAAGATATTGCGTGCATTGCCCGTATAATGATTTAGTCCTTTTCACAGGTTGGATTCTGTGAGAACGTGCACATACACCAGCGGTAAATGCGCCAAAAGCGATCTAGTAAGTATGCCTGATAACGGTATATTGAAGTTTCTGCAAAACATATACCGACTCCAGCGTCTGAACAGCTTAGTCTAATACCCTCCCGCATTCAAGTTTAGTTCACAGTGCTAACCTATATCGCTCTCTGTACGAATCCAACAGACGTACTCCGTTGGCCTTTATTACGTGCAGATCGATCCGGATCTTAGGAAATTTGGCTCATTTCCGCCGGACGAACTCTTTCATTGTACGATGCGGAACCCAAGCTGCGAGTCGTTTAAATGTGTAGAATCGTAAGACGATCAGATTCCAGTAAACTATTGACCACCATCTTCTAAGATAAAAACGCCGTTACCAAGATATGTCTCTAGTCTAAAATTAAGAACACCTAAGCAATTACCCCAGCCACCGCATTTATGCCGGTTCTGTTAGAATTATTGATATAATACTTAGCAAGAATCGTAGTGCGCTTAGTATAATCATGATAAATATATGAGTTACCTTATATATATGTGCCCGCATTCGCTGATAGACCGTACGTCCCTTATCATTTTCTCTATACACTTGAAGCCTTTACACGTAAAACGGTCGATAAGCTAAACGTTTGATTCCTATGAAACTTGACATTAGCATGAAGGTGAGCTATTTTCGCGCTCCGTCACAGCTTTGCTACACTCTTGACGTAGGTGCGTACCAACACGGGATCGTCTCAAAATGTAAATCGCCGTGGATGTACAGTAAGTCGAAAGGACTCAAAATACTTATCTTTTCGTTTCACCGGAATAGGCCGGTCTTGTGATACTTACTTAGAATGTCACTAACGAACGGTAGGCCCTGTATTATACGTTACGTGCTTTTCACAATGAAGTCTTTCAAGTCAGGCCCACGTATCTTAATGAAGGAAAATTCTTTGTGGATTCCTATAAATGGCGACAATTTAGCATTGGAGTTGAAGTATCGTGTGAATCGATCCCGGGTCATCACCTTTTTGCCAAAGAACATATACCCCTTGATTGTACATTCGCCTAATAGCACCTTTCCGGACGCATTAACGGCCATCACGCTGCGACCTGGGACAGTCTACGAGCTCTCGATGAAACAGGTCAGTGCATTCAGCTTGTTGTCTCGGTAGGCTATCGATTGGACAAAAAATTTTTTGTTGATCGCGTCTGAGAAGTTGTAATATAGGCTTTCGGTTACAGAATGATAGGAGACTTCAAGGCCTACCTACAACCGAGTAGATGCAAGATGCTGCTAACTCCTTAAATGTCTCGTTGCAGAAACGAATTAAGCGACTACCATCGCCGTATAAATCTCATTGTCATGATTATAGGCTGCGCGGGTATAGGCAAGAATACGGTGGCTTCTTGAATTTTGATGTAAGTTAACTGAATTGGCTAGACATTTCAATTCATCCAGATCTCATCTAATCACAGCTTCTAATCTAACGATAGCCATGTCAGTGGTCACTAGGTCTATAGGCCGAAGTGGGGACTTGAAGAGAAAGAAATATGCAGACATTGTGTAGTGGATGTTTATTGTTCAAGTACTAATTAACAGTCTTCTGCCATTGTTGATGTGCTTCAGCCCGAAATCACCACCGACTCTTGTGCTTTTTTCTGGCATTATTTTTCAGCTGTGTCTGCAAAATTGTAGCATTTATATGGAGCTAGAATTGTGCGGTTGCATATTATCCAGCCATGAATACGCGGGACACCAGCGTTTTACACTCTGCAATTTCACGTACGGCGATACATGCTCTCATATGATACACCGGAATCACACCTATGAGAAATGCAACATGGCCTGCGGCATGCCTTGCGAGTAAGTAGTACTTGTTTCTTTTCGGACCCGCTTATCGATTCGATCATAGTATATTGAGCTTAGATTCTACTTAAATCGACGTATGTACTATATTTTTTAGGGAAGTCCCCCTTTTTTTTTTTAGCCAAAACTCTTTATACCTTGTTATCCTCGCACCAGCTTCAAGTTACGAGTAAGATCAGGCAGCAATTAGCTGCACCTAATATCAATCATTATTGATCACAACCTCGCCGATGTGAGACCCTTCAAGGACTTTTTCGGAATGAAGCCGATAAAGTGTTTCAATCTTCAAGCTTATAATATGCAGGGTGCCTAAAGGTCGTTATTACAATAGTAGAGATAACTAATGATATCTTCTATTTTCATGGGGCCGTTCAGCCATGAAACTACCCTCAGTTTATTTATAATCGCCGTCAAATGACTCTGTTTGTATGTTGTAGTGGTATATACACATATCTATAGTTCCACTCTAGTGTTTCTAGCTCAAATGTCGTTTTGTTCACTTCACGGAAAATGCATCATTCTTCTTGCGTCAAATTCCGGTCACAATATATGTTTGCCACTAGTCTGTACGACCTTTTCCGATCTGTCAAGCAATTTATCTATTCGTCTCGTTCGAAATGTTCAGCTTGAGACTCTTTTCGGTGTCAAATGTAGCGTTCCTAATTTCATTTGCCAGTGAAAAATGGTGGTAGTCTGTCAGGGCAAGGTCTGGAAAGTATTAGGAGTTCGAAATGGCCTTCCGTCAAGAAAGTCTCCGCTTCTAACCTGGTTGGATACATACAAATAAATGGACGCGGTCTGGTGCTTGCAAGTTTGTTAATGCAGTAAATTATTATACCTATGTTTTAGCTTAGTGCCTTTACGGGATAGCATCGTTATGTGCGGTCTGGTATTGTCGTGATAAGAGATAGTTTCGTCTTGTTTGTTGGGTAGCCTCGTTTACACAATGCGACCGGAACGCGTTTAGATCCCTGTTAATCGTCTTGTTCTTGTTAAGCATTTTTCAAGAGTAAAAGATTCTTCCAGTCCCAACATACGCGAATCATCGTTTACTTAAAATGGAGGTTTAGGCATGGCTCTGGACGCAGACATATCTTCGAAAGCCATTCATTTCTTTCTCTGCCTTAAATGTACGCGGAGAGATCGTTCCAAGTCGCTAGTAGCGAAGCTGTGTTGAAACCTGTCATTGTGATGTTGAGAGGCAATAAAAACTCTTGTCCCCCTTATGACGATTGCTCAGTTCTGAAACTTCTGATTTTTAACTCGATCACATAGATTTAAGGGGACTTATTGGTAGTCATATGGTGGTATGCATTTCATTTTGGAATCTTCACGTTTAAAGCCTAAACGAAGGATAGAATTGCGCTTATTACATAATGAAGTTGTGTTATAACGAACCTTCAGAGAAGAAGGAATGTTTTTGAAAAACACTTTTCAACACACAACTAAACAACTAAGCGAGACGCTAAAAGGAAAACGGACCAAATGTACTTGTGCTCTAGCTTCATTCATATATATATAGATATATATATATATATATATATATAAACAATTGAAGTTGATGGCAATTGAAGCTTAGGTATAACACTTTGCACAGACATCGTTAAGATCCATAATAATGTTAATAAATAATGTAAAAAGCTTGTGGAAACACTTTTAGTTTAACAATAACGAAGTGCTATATTTGCATGAACAAAATTCGAACAGGGAAATCGCGTACGATCTAAAAGTGATAGGTTTCAGCACAGAGAACGGTTCCGACAACGAGATCAAGTAAGTGATTGGCATCATTCGTTATGTAATTACCCTCTCTCTCTCCATCTCTTTCCCCATCTCTCTCTCTCTCTCTCTCTCTCTCTCTCTCTCCATCTCCATATCGCTCTCTCTCTCTCTCTCTCTCTCTGGGTGTGTGTGTGTGCATGTGTAAGCGTTTTACAACTGTTCATGCACTAAAGTGCCAAACACAGCAAAATGCTATTACAGTAGTTTACAGCTCTCCGAAAAAATCGTAAATCTATTTAAATCCGTAAAGGCAACCTTTTACAATCGCAGGCAGCAATCAACTACACCCAATTACTGTGGTGTGCATGTGTAATTAATTAATTATTGTAAAAGTCAAATATAATAGTGACGGTTTCTTGTTCCCAAGTGGTGGCAAAGATTAGTATATAGTATCTAAATGCCTGGAAGCATTTTAAATTAATTTGTTTTAATCTTTAGTTGGGGGTTTGCGTTACAGGGACAAATTCACCCTCTTATTGAGTTTTGCTTCCGATGCCGAAGAAATAACAAAGTACGTTCCAGCGTTAACTGTAAGTTAATATGTGAATAAAGTTAAACAGCGTAGTCAAGTTCCTACTACTAATTCCGTTATGAGACATTGTACAGGATTAGAAGTGAGGCGACTTACAAAAAATCTACTTAGAATTTAAGTCGATATAATTAGAGGCAGAATTTAAGGACACGACCTTACACATAAAATAACTATTATTTAAAGGTGTTTATTGTTTCGAGTCATCTCGAAGCTAGGAAGGAACATTTTTTTATTTGAATTGAAAAGTCATGTCGCAGGCCTGAAATCATGTAAATTAAGACTCTTAGTCGTCAATCCAGCGAGGTAATGATAATTGTGACTTAACGGCTCTGGCCAATGGATAAAGCGAATATAATTAATTATTGTTGTAAGAAAATACTCTCGATTTTGACGTAAGCGAAACTGTTTACCTACTGATCATCCAGCTCTTCTTCGATCGTAAGCCTGCTTTTGCCCGCTTTTCTAGACTTAAGTTTTGAGTGATTTTTTCCAACACTGTAACCCTATTTTTACCCTTTCTCTTCAGCGACCTCTATTGAAACCTTATTGTGGTTATAATTTCTCCCGCACGGATTATTTTCTTTGTTGCCGGTGATGTGATTGGTTCTAGGAAAGCAATAGGCTATTTCAAGAACCACTAATTAGGCGTGTTATTAATCCCTGATAAAAATTTTGCAATTATTATCTCTCGTCTATGTTTATTATAGTACACGGAATTCGTGGCTTATGTTGGAGCGTACATAGGCACGTGGACTGGTATGTCGCTGTTAGATACATTGCTTCGTTTCGAGAACTGCTACAACCTACTTAGGAAGTTACTAAAACAAACCGTTAGAGCTCGCGTAAGTTAAATAAATAAAGAATATAGAAAATAATTACTTTTCCTTATTGCCGGCATAGGGATATAGCATACTCGAGTGCATTTTGGCTATTTAGTCTCCATACTTATACATGGTCTTCACTGTATCTGAATTCCAGGTGCCCTATGAATCTCTAATAATCTCTCCCTCGTAAAGTGAATCCATATGCCGGCAATTACAAAACAACTTGAAAAATAAAGTAAAAGCAATCAACTCACAAAATATTTAGATTGCTCGTACCTATAAAAATAATCATTCGTTTTCTAAATCAGTATTCGTCAATTTCAGAATGACTCCTGACTCTGCTAAGACTGAAGACGACAAGCCTGTCACCATCCATCCATCCATCCATCCAGAGAAAACATTATATCACAGTAAAGCTGTAATAAACCATGACAGATCTCAAGTATGGACACCTTAGCAGACAGCATAAGTCTCAAAAAAATGTGCTCAGAATATATATCTTGCGCCCTTGTTTGATGGTTGTTTCGAGGCGAGATATTTGCTTCACTCAGATTTATTGAGCATCATTCGCAATTCCGGAAAACAGTAGATAATCAAATACGTTTTGTTTTTTTTTTTTATTGTTCAAAAAGCAGGTGACACGTTTCTCAAGTCAAATCCGTTAATAAATTTTGAAAAATCATTTCAACACTCTATCATGCACTCTTTTAAATTAACGCGAAGGGAGTTGGCCCACGAAGCTGATAGGCAAGCTTTGCTAAATTCGCAGCAAAACTTGTGTTCAACTTTTTTTTCCATACGGTTTAATCAACTAGATAAAGCCTTCTCAAATTGGGTTCGATCAAACGAATATGGCAAACTTTTCTGGCAGCGATCTTAACACTTTTCATTTAACTTAAGTTCCAACCGCAGGATTGCATCGGTTAACACTGGTGCGCTGGAATGCATAAAACCACTGTAGAATACTTAGTTCACTTCCGCCAAGTCGCTAAGTAGAAAGCCTTCAAAAGGTGCTACACGCGTATGTGACGTGGACAATAACTTGTCCGTGCCCAATTCAACAAAGCATGCAAATACTCGGTGCCGACAGTATGACTGATCCATCTCCGTCGTGCGTTCTCGCTGAATATCTGTTATGAAATGTACTAAATTTTTCGATCTATTTAAGACGAGTTACTTTAGTTTGCCTGAGCTACCTAGTGCGATTCTTAGTAAGCTATAACAGTGAACTTCATTGAATAGGACTGCCGCTGGAATTAATTATAATAGGAGAAAACAAGATGAGTATAATTAAGATGATATTGTCGGTTTTCTAATAAAATATCATCATCAACTTAACACTTTATTGATCAGCAGATCGTACGTGATCCTAGCTAAAATTTT